TCTCAGTAATCTTTGCACTGATAATGTTAATCAGTTTATTTTGGATCATTTGGCCAAGGTAGTGAGTGTGACTGATTGCTTGCATTACTTTTAACCCTACTTAAATGATTCTTCATAACTGGATCAAATTTAGCCAAAAGTTCCACTTGGAGAAAATTACCATTGGATGGACAGTTAAGTTTTTCGGTTGACCCTCTTAGAGCCAAATTTCTTTCAGCTAGAGACTGAATAATCGCCACTAGTCTAGTGAGGACTTGGCGCCACTCAGCCATTAACATTTCCATTTCCCGTAGGTCTATCGTCCTTCCTCTTGCAATGGTGACCTCCAGTTCCTTCCATGTTGTCATGTTTTTAGTGTGTTCTATGCTACTTTCATGTGCGCTGAGCAAATGACTGGCATTTTTCCAATCATTGATGCCTTCTTCAGCCATTCTAACATGTTTCGTAGAAAACATTTTACAACAGAAGCAAAAAAGTTTATCCTGTTTCACCGAATAAATTAGTCAACTTCTTTGGATCTTCTCTCCATTTACTAAGATTCGGCGAAAGTAATCATGTTGACATCTTCTCCCATCCTTTTTTGGAAACACCTAATTAGGATCAACCTGGTAAGGTCCTCTGCGAACAAGTTCTGCTTTTTCCTGGTTGGACATTGAGGATGGCCAGTCAGTGGGTCAACAGGTGCAGCCCTGGATGCAGCACATTCGAGCTGTGGTTGTGACACTGTATCTGTTGGCTGTGAAGAATGGAGCTGTAGTGGTGACACTGTATCTGTTGGCTGTGAAGAATGGAGCTGTAGTGGTGACACTGTATCTGTTGGCTGTGAAGAATGGAGCTGTAGTGGTGACACTGAATCTGTTGGCACCCTTAGCATTTGCTAACCTCACCTAATGGAAGCGGCGGCCCTGGTAACGTGACCCAATAATCTCCCACCAACCTTCATCACAAGTGTTAAAGACACGATTAGTTCCGTATTATGCCAATTGAGTGAAGTGTCTGCCTATTCTAGGCTAAAGATGACAGGATCTGCTGGAGTACAATATATACAGTACACAAGAACACTTGCCAACAGTGTGTAACAGAGACATGACTGATATTCCAAGCTGCTACTGAGCCGATCAGTGGCAAAGAGGATAAAAGTAACACAGCTCTATTCGCGCCTGTATCATATAGAGTTTCTGGGTTTTTTTTAAATATATCTATTTAACCAAACTTAGATGAAGTAGTCAGGATTATTTTTGTAAAAAATGGTGTGTCTAATGAAATTAGAACTGATTTTACTGACTGCGGTATCAACATTTCTTATTCATTTATTTTTATTATTTTTTATAAAAGAATGGAATTCCCATCACTATATCATATATAAATGTTTCATTTAAGGATATCTTATTGGAAACGTTTCAGAGAATTTATTAAGGATCATTATGTTATCAAACTTATCTCCCTATCACAAATAGCCACGCTTGAGTGAGGGGGGGGATGGTGACACAATTTTTTTTTTATTGCTCCCAAGGGGGCTAGTTTATTGGGCACCCCCTTACATCCTATGCAAGGTGAAGTGCAGAATCATTTACAGTGCCCATCTTGGAAGCATGCTAAGTTCATGCTTGCCTTTATGACTCATGCATTAAGGGCATAAAAGCCTGAAGGGTCATAGGTGTTGTCAGCAAGTTACATAAAGTGACAGAATGATGAGTGTGTGGGGGGAAAAGTTCCCGGTACATTTCATCTGTTTATGGCAAAGAGTGGCAGGTCCCTAATAATGTCATGTGCCAGGCCTGTCACTAGGAGGAGGGATATCTGGTCAGGGAGGGAAGAGGTGTTGGTAATGGCTGGGGACCTGTAGGAGGAGGTCAAAGGGCAAGTGAGGATGTAATGACAGAAGGTGTGAGTTGGGTTGGCCACAAAGTTTACAAACAGTGCAGCCAGGCTCAGGGTTGCCAATGTACTCCCATAGGTACCTGTACCCTAGGCGCAGTCTTATGTACATAATTTGTTGAGATCGAGTCAGGGATTGATACTCTTTGTAGTGGCGGTTGTCGTCACCAGTTACAGCGTCATAGTGGTGTAGTGTGACACTACCCCATTGTTTCAGGTGTGTCCAATTTTCGTTGAATGCTTCTCGTTGTGCGGCGTGTTTGCGAGATTTGAGATGATTCAGGGCGAGGGTGGCTTCAATATCTTCTTCTTGTGTCGCTTCTTTGGCAAGCTGATCAACAGTGTCACAGGCAGTTATTCCTATATGTTACGGCATCTAAATAAACTTGACACCGATGTCATCAGTTTGTTCTAGTCCGGCGACAGTGGCTAGGGCGTGTTGGGCGGCAGGGGAGGAGGGGGAGGGTGATTTGAGCCTCGCCAGCGCAGAAGTGCTGTCACTGATTATAAGGAGGTTCCGGCATTCAGTGCGAGCATAGGTCGACCCCTCATGAATGCCCGCGAGGATGGCTATGCTTTCAGTGTCAATGGAGGAGGCCGAGTCGTGGACTCTGATTTTCCTGCGGGCCTGGCGCTCAGGAATCCACACAGCTGCCCCAGAACTGCCCAGCGTGGTAACAGACCCATCACAGTAAACGAAGATAGGAGGGTGGGAGGTCGTAAGAGAGGAGGTGACATCATTAATGACGACACAATTAGCCACGCTTGAGTGAGGAAGGGGGAGAGGGATTGACCATGCGACCCTAACCCCCAAAAAGGTTCGCTTCCGTCAACACACACCAACACCACCCACACATCACACACACACCCTACATCACACACAAATACACCCTCCAACAACCATCCACACACCTCTATATCACCCACACACACCCCCAACACCAACCTCACCCCACATCACCCACACCATCACCACCCCCACACATCACACACCCCAACATTACACACACAAACACACAGTCCAACACCATTCACACATCCCCAGCAAGGGAATTAAGACAGCGAGCATAAGGAGTGAAGGTCTAATTGTATGACACATTTGCGTGTGTGTGACTGCATGGCAGCGAGTTAAATATCAACGTTGAGGAGCGTTTGGCAACACTAATTTCCACTCCTCTCTAATTATCCACACCTTTCAGCTTTCTCACTCCATATTTTAAAATGTTATGGAACGTAATGTTGAAGGGATTCAACTTTGCTCATTTATACTTATACTTATCACAATCTCTAAAAATACTTTAGATTTTGTGTTTATTCAAGACATATTCAGGTCATGAGTCCCACTAACCCTCCACCAAGAAAGAGTAACCTGACATTCCATCAGGTCAGTAATATGAGACCACTAATACCCATGCTACCTCCACCTGACATTGCATCAGGTCAGGTCAGTTACACGAGACCCACTAATCCCCCACAGCTCCATGGGAGTGGAAAATAATAGTCTTTGCTGTAACACACCGCTTCATTCATGCCCATATCCTATAGATTTTTTATTTTTTAATATATTTATTTAACCAAACTTTTAGATAAACTACAGTGGTCCCTCGGTTAACGAGCACAATCCGTTCTAGAAGGTTGCTCGTTAACTGAAAAACGCGTTAACCGAAACCATTGTTTCAATGGGTTTTTGGGTAATTGGTTCCAGCTCACCGAAAATTGCCTAAATTCAACAAAAAAGGTAGAAAAGTACACTTACTTTGAGGTGTGTATGTAGAAGGCTCCTGGATGATGATGACGATGGGAATTAGAATGGGGGTGGAGGAGAAGGGAGAAGAGAAGGCATTGGGGTGAAAGAGAAGTCACCCCATGGCGCCATTTCACCCATAAAATTTTAGTTTTCTTGGTGTAATTCAAGATTATTTTCTTTAAATCAACACTGCACTGCATTATATATTGTCAATATGTAAAATAAATTTCAAAATGACCAATAATTTGCTTGGAACACAGAAAAAAAGCATTTAGTTGAGGAGAGTCTCAAGCAAGATGTTACCTCCACTGAAAAGACACAAAGACTGACGCCTGTGTGGTGTGTTGAGAGGCTGGATGGCGTGCATAAAACTAGTTTCATTACCTTCAATTATGTTCAATAATTGTTAAAATGACTAAAAAATTTAATATTATACTTTTAAAATTATTGAATTGTATAAACTTCTTGATATTTGCTAAAATGGTAAGGAATTTAAGCCCTAGAACCGATTACTGTATTGGCAGACTAATACTACAGCTGGTGGACCGCCAAATGCAAGCAAAAACATGTTCAGGTCGGCTCATAAGAAACTCGTTAATCGAGGGATTGCTCGTTAACCGAAGTTAAGAATCTTATGGAAGGTAACTCGTTAACCGAGGCGCTCGTTAACCAAGGGACCACTGTATTCTGGATTATTATAGTAAAGAAATGAAGCTTCTAAATTAATTAGAACTGTATTTACATATTCCAGTAGTTTAGACTCAAGGAAAACATCTCCAGTACCCAGAAACATTCTGGGAAAGTGAGCTAGTGTGCATCTGTGCAAGATGTCTAGTTTAGACATTTGTAAACTTTTCCTGGTAACTGGAAAGGGTTCCTGGGATAAGGAATTTTTGGGGTTTGAGAAAGTCGTCTCGTTACCAGGAAATCTCTCATCCCCGGAAGTGCTCTGCACCAATTGTTTTGGCTAACAGGGATATCACTGTATATATGCTGTACTATATGTAGGTCTTTGATGTGTTGCATATTGTTTTGGGCACTTCTGAAAACTATAGCTGTGCCGTGATATAGTTGGGATTTTGCTAACATTTATTGATACATGGGCTTCTTCAGTACATACATAGAGACTAAAAGATTAAAAAATTGGAAGCATGTAACAGCTGAGCACATTATTTGCATTAAGATACCATATTGATATTGAAGAAAAGTGTCAAGGTAAGCATTCTGAAGGGAGGGTTTTCTGATCGCTGGGTTAGTATCAGCTGGTTTATGTCATTATTATAATGAGATGCCTGGTTCAGGCTCAGTCATAAAATGGGTTATTAGCATCAATCCCCATTTTTGTTTTTTGTTTATTTTCATATTTTCCCCTCAGTATGGAAAGCTTCTCCGTCTGGCGAGGGATTATGGTGCTCTGGCCTTCTTGGATTTTAATTGGGGTTCAGCACATGGACGCATTTATGTGCGCCTTAAAAGAAACTCTGCACAGGGCAATCAGTTCCTACAGTTCTGCACCGGATATGATGGAAGGACATATGTAGGTACCCATCTTCTACAAATATTCAACAAGGATAACCCTGGTGAGTGCATTATTGTTGGGGAGAATGATCCAAAACAACCTTTGTCAGCCAGTTTAACCAACATTGGCTACTCTTCGAATGGACAATACTCACGTCCATGGAGCCCAGGCTTAGTGTGGGGAGGATGGGGAACATGTTCTACACAATTTGGTATTACACTGAGACACTGGACTGGTGGTTTACCTGCACCTTCATGCTTTGGATGGATAGAGAGTGGTTTAGAAATATTGCAGTCAGCAGTATTGCATCCCAATATCTCTCAAGTAAAAGTAGTTGATTGTGGAGTTGTAATTTCATAACTGTTTTGTGTGAAATACATTTTTAGAGGTATGTCATGTCTCAATATTTTCCACTCTTACCATCAGACATTAACAATCATTTTCACCCAACAAGTTACAAACAATTATGTATCACAACCCATCAGTTGCCATACTGCTGTAAAGCTGTGTTTCATATCTGCAGCCCATATCATGTGAGGGTAATGCAGTACTCAAGAAAACTCTAGCTGCCTCTTGAATAATTACTTGACTTGTAGGGATGTGCCAGATATCTAGCAATTATTCAGTATCTGATAATTTTTTATTATACTGCCAGATAGCCAATTATCGTCTTGCACTGCAGCTGGATTGTTATAAAATTTTGAAATGATGGAGAAATATCAACACTTATGGTAGTGCTGATTCTCCTCCGAGCAGTCAGTTAGAACACTGTTTTCTTTCTATGTTTTCAAACATTAGTATAAAAATAAAAAGGCTATTTTTGCATAATGATAGTTGATTGAAATTCATTCAGATGTTTAGGAGGAATGGGGATTTGAAGTTGACACACATGAAATTTCTATACAGTATTTTCAGAGATTTATAGAAGATTCAAATTTTGAACTTAGATAGCAATTTCAATTAATTAATTGACAGAATGAGCCTTTTCTGTGGTACCTTATTTATTTATAAAAGTTCAGTTGCTTAACAGGAGTAATTATAAGAAGTGAAAAGTTTACAGGCAACCTACCAACCAACCAATCACCCACTAGATCAGCCAGCCATTCATCAGGAGCAAATACAGCATGGTGTCCATCCCTGAAATATACAAATATTTATGTACACTTTATAAACAATACAGTGACCCCTCGGTTAACGAGCTCAATCCGTTCCAGAAGGTCGTTCGTTAACCGAAAAGTTCGTTAACCGAAACCATTGTTTCAATGGGTTTTTGGGTAATTGGTTCCAGCTCACCGAAAATTTCCTAAATTCAACAAAAATGGTAGAAAAGTTCACTTACTTTGAGGTGTGTATGTAGAAGGCTCCTGGATGATGATGATGATGGGAATTAGAATGGGGGTGGAGGAGAAGGAAGAAGAGAAGGCATTGGGGTGGAAGAGAAGTCACCCCATGGCACCATTTCACCCATAAAATCTTAGTTCTCTTGGTGTATTTCAAGATTATTTTCTTTAAATCAACACTGCATTGCATTATATATTGTCAATATGTAAAATATATTTCAAACTGACCAATAATTTGCTTGGAAACACAGAAAAAAAGCATTTAGTTGAAGAGAGTCACAAGCAAGATGTTGCCTCCACTGAAAACAGAGAGAGACTAACGCCTGTCTGGTGTGTTAACAGGCTGGATGGCACGCCAGAAACTAGTTTCTTTACCTTCAATTGTGCTCAATAATTGTTAAAATGACTAAAAAAAGTTAATATTAAACTTTTAAAATTATTGAATAGTATAAACTTCTTGATATTTACTAAAATAGTAAGGAATTTAAGCCCTAAAACCGATTACTGTATTGGCGGACTGATACTAAAGCTGGTTGCCCGGCCAGTGCAAGCGAAAACATGTTGAGGTCAGTTCATAAGAAATTCGTTAACCGAATTTTTGTTCGTTAACCGAATTGAAGATCCTTATGGAAGGCAGTTCGTTAACCGAAATTTCGTTAACCGAGGCGTTCGTTAAACGAGGGGGTCACTGTATATCATTAAGTACCTGTACCGTATATCTCTCCAATTGTAAACTATTTGAAAGCATATGAGCCATACATACAAAACAACAACAGTACTATCTCCAGACCAATGTTTGATGACCATAAAGTAGGGCTTGTTATGTTGTAGCAAACGATGTTTGAACGAATTAACTGCATTTTCTAAACTGACAGAACAGTGTGCCTTGCTTGTTGCAAATTACTTTTGAACATGTTTGCAACTTGTGCCAAACTGGTTGAACAGGGTAACAATTAGTTATTATATGCATGATATTGTTTATTGCTCAATGCTTTTGGTTCAATTTCAGTATATCAATGTATTTTTTTCCATAATTCAGGAGAATTTAAGTAGATTTACCTATTTTTGATAGCTTCATCTTATTTTCTGTAGTCTTCAAATTTTAGCACATCTTCTGAAAATTCAGTAAACCTGGCAACACTGTTTGACATTAATGTCCTTGAACCCCTTAATTACCACCAACACATGGTGCTGCTCTGCCAGATACACAACTCTTGACATAAAGATGTGGCTTAGGAAAAGACGAGCTCAAGTTGCAGAAAACATCAGGTACTGGATATCTAGCCAATATCTGATGTCCACCTATCTGGCAGTTTTGCCTTCCAGCACATCCTTATTGATATGCAAATAGTGTATATACTAGTGTATATAATCTGTGTGAAAATGCAAACTACAACAAATTTCTCAGCAAGTTATACTTTCACTAAGAATAGGTATTATTACTAATTCATAAGTTATTACTGTACAGTTCTTTAAATTTTTGTTACCTGATGTTTTAACCTGTTACTACATTATCCTTTTCTGAATATTGTATGATTTGCTACAGGAATTTGATAGCCTTAGTCATGTATTCAGGCACTGTTAAGTTGACTGATATTCAGTCCCAGGTGTGCCACTATAGGTGAACAAGAATTTTGATTATCAAAATTTTGCTAATATTGAATGTGATTAAATAAAGTTTATTGAATTTTATTTGTTGTTTTATTTTATTATGACATAAAATATACAGTACGTACAACCTTGGAAATCAGGACACTCGCAGGACTTTTCTGTGAATATGAATTAAAAATTCTAAAGCTTGGAAATTTTTCTCAAAACCTTTGAAGAATATGCTTCATACAGGTTAAACCCCTCTAATCAGGGACCCGATAGTCCGATAGCTTTGATGGTTTGAGACGGTGTTTGAATCTGGCTGTCGTTAGTTTCCAAGACTAATCTACTTATTTCAGTGTCACAGTACAGTAAACTTATGTCATAGCACTAACACTTTGTCATAAAGAGCTCCACTAAGCCTGGGCTAGATTTCAGAAGATTCGTACAAAATTTGAGGGTTCCCAGGGCTAAGAAGCATTCCCAAAACGAGTAAAGATCATCTTAGGCCCGTGTAACTAAGATGTCAGCACTTGGGACAGAGGTGCCCAAGGTGGGAAACATAAACAGAGTCATCAATTGTTGTTTGTGGGAATATTTTTTCATTCACTCTAATAATGATACAATGTTACTTATTATATTATCGTAGGTAAATGCATGGTTTATATAATTTGTTTATCACTGTGTCCGTCACCGTTAGGCGTAATGGGAGCGAGTGAGTGAGCACTAGTTAGAGCCTCGTCTGCTCTTGTAAACTCCCTTTGCTCCTTGCCATTTTTCACTGGATTTACTGTTATCATTAATGTGTACTGATATAATAGTACTTAATAGTGATTAATCATGGCATTGTAGCCAGCTTAGACTCGCCACTGTAATCAACAGGCTACTGGGCCAAGCTGTGTGGTGTTATATATCGTTTTTTAACTTGTATTTTCAGGTAGATATACATAACTATTTCATTTATTTTTTACTCGGCTATATGCACACACCATCTTAAATACATACAGTATAGTGAAAAAAATAAAAGAAATAATTGTCCTAAGGGCAAACCTGTACTTAAATGTACTAATTTAATTACTAAAATTTTTGTCTAGTGCAAACTATGGGATGTTTACACTCAAATTAATCTTTATCTTACAAGAATTTCAGCAATGCAAGTTATATTCTGCTAAGACATGTCAGTGACATTTTATAAGCAAAAAATTTAAAACTCCCTTTATTGTATAATCCTGAATCCCTGACCCCTCCCCCCTCCTTGCTGTCAACACCCCACCTCCCCCTCCTCCCAGCCAGAAGGTGGTAAGGATTTTATGGGATGAAGGTGGTTTTAGGCTTAAATTTTTTTTCTTATAAAATGTAAGACTTGATTTAGCAGAATATAACTTGCATTGCTGGAATCCTTGCAAGTTAATGATTAATTTGAGTATAAACATATCATAGTTTGTACAAGAGATAAAATTTTTCATCCTTTTGCTGAGTATATTTGAAGTACAAAGTGAGTAGAGTAATATGTTGCTCAAAATTATGGCTTTTTTCACAGGGAAAAGTATGTATAACTAACCCCAGTGGTCAGGATATTATGGCATTGACTGTTACAGCGTATTTCAAATAAATTCTTTGTTTAGTTATGTACATATGCGAATTCACATATTCTTAGTTTGTAATGATGTCACAACTCCCATAATGCAACATGTCTATACCTACAAGATGGTGGACTGTGCAAAGGATTATGGGAGTTGTGATGTCAATGCAAACTAAGAATTAGTGGATAGAAACACATGCCCGTTATTATATCGGGAAAATATGAAACTAAAATGAAAATAAATTAAAACCTCCTTCATAGTTAAAGATTACTGGGTATTTGAGTTTGAGGCTAACCACAGAAATCATCTCATCTAGTCATGTAATCCCCGACACGAATGTAAACAGATCATATCAACGTGCTTTGTATAATATTTTTAACATTACTGTATATTCGTGGTATTAGCCGAGTATTTTTTGTTTCTACAATGCACGTATTATTTGGAATCTAATTAGTAAAACTAATTCTACAAAGATATCGCAAAACAATATACTGTACAAATATTCTTAATTTGCATTGACGTCACAACTCCCATAATCCTTTGCATGTACCGTCTTGTAGGTATAGACGCGTTGCATTATGGGAGTGTGACGTGAAAACTAAGAATATTGAATGCGCATAAAGCAAGGGTCCACTGTACGTATATATTATTTCAAGAAAACTATGGCTACAGGAAGAAAATACACACAAAAGTTTTTAACTAAATACTCCCTGCTAAAATGTCGAAAATTTCGGTACCGTATCTTTGGTGTTTTTTATATATTATATATTGTTTTTATACATTTATTACATTTGCCGGAAGATTCGGACAATCGGCTTTTTCGGACAGGTGGTTCCCCCCTCTCATTTAGTCTGAATCTTCGAGGATTATTTTGCCTTTTTTTAACCTCCGCTTCAATGGTTCTGTTTACTAATCTGGAACTGTTCTGGTCCCAGGCTTCCCAGATTAGCGGGTCCAATATGTACTTTATTTTTTTAATTTATTTAATTTACCTTTTTGATATGAAAAGGCTTGGTCAATTCCTCTATTTCACCAAATGTGTTTGTCCTATGTGGTCCAATTTTATTGCAGGAGGAAACAGGAATACCCAGAAAACATGAAAAACTTGTAATGTTTGGTAAGGTTACATTGGATAAAACCCTTCTCACATCTGACTCAAGGTTTGAAACTGACTAAGTGGTTAGAGGCAAGCATCCTATTGCAATACATGGGGCTGAACTAAGGGGTGGAGCTTCTTGGGGGCCTTTTAGAGATGGCCCATAGTTTAACAGGACACCAATATCTTATTCTTGTACATGTATTGTTTATTTTGTACAGTATTGCATCAGAAATTCAAGTTAATAAATTAGAATTAGTATACAGTATTGCATGGTCAAATGATTCAAATCGACTGCTAGATAGCTAGGGTGCTGACATCTGGTCATAGCTTGGGATAACGAATGGTACCTGTAAACACAAACATACTCATACACAAACATTGCATGTGGGGCTGCCCAGTTAACAGATGCTATTACACTGTTGATAAGCTGACTGGCATTTTTCCATGGTCTTTACCATAATATAAGTATGTTATTGACTTTGTCCAAATTAGAAAATTAAATTTATTTACAGTATTTTAATTTTTTTTTTCAAAATTTCATCAGATAAAAATTCCTCTGAATTAAAAAATCTTAATTTGATGAACAGTTGAAGTTTCTCATAAATTATATTTAAAAAATTAAAAGAAATTCGTTAAATTAAAATTAATTTTACAATGGTAACTACTCATCTCGTGTAATTTT